GCTCTCAAGTTAAAGATTCAGCAAAAAATCTTGAACAGTATAGAGTATTAATGGATTGAAAGTCAAATTTGAACGATAACCACGAAAAGTATTCAGATGAATGAATTGCAAAACTCGATGAAATTCGTAATTGATAGTTGTGTGCAAACACTGCAAACGATAAATAAACAACAAGAACAGTTGAATGCACTGTTGAGAATCAATTCCATTGATGGCGGGCAAGGTATGTTGCTATCAGTATTACTAAAGTATCGGTAAATGATTTGAGAACTGAGAGGCGCATAAACTGCGAATGTTTTCTGTTTGAAAGTTGGAGTTTATTACGGGGAATTGTTGATTTGCCACGTTTTTTTAGCTGATCTGTTCGATAAGGAGGAGTGAAACGTTGTTATCGAAGGAAATCATCTTAGGAAATCAGATGCATTTCATTGGGTCTTAGTCGCAATTAATCGAAGTAAACGTTTATCAATGAAACACTATTGGATCGTTTCAGTAAATTCAACTCGGAGTGAAATTGAACGTTTACGCAACGATATCTCAACTGTTAAATCACTTCTATTGAATCAAAATCAGTTCGCTGCAATACCCAATGGTACTCTCCATCCCACTAGAAATCACCTCAATAACACTACCAATAATACTGATAACATCAACTTCAAACCCGTAGCGTTACCGTCATGGCAAAGACCAAAGAATGCAGAGCAAAATCAGTGCTCAACACAAAGTCCCAAGTTTGTTCATCTTTTAACTTTGTTTTATTCCAGTATGGCTTAGCTGAAAAATTTATTCGCAGATAGATTGATTCAATATTTACGAATATACAATAATTGTTGTGTTGAAACATGACTTATGATTAAATATTAATCACAAGAAGCGAATTGTTGTAGCAGTTTTGGAGCATCAGGAGATGATGTGAATGCGGTATCTCGTAAGAAAGATTCAGCATCTGATATCGATAGTGACAAGGAGTTCGAACGTTTGAATGTGAATGGATCATCGGCTTGATTTGATGCTTTGTTCTGATCTGATAGCAAATGATATAATAAGATGGGTGCATCATGTTTTATCGGTTCTAATGAAACATCTGTATTGACTTAAAGTCATTACATGATCAGTCAGTATGCAAAAGCAAAATCAAAGTTAAGTGATATTATTGTATGAAATTATTTCGTCATTTCTATTGTTTTTATGAT